GACTGTTCCAAGGATTGTAAATTATCCTATTAGCATTTCAATGAGCATGGATGCTTGACACATATTGCACAGCTATATTTTAAGGGATAGTGCAACTCTCTTGCTTGAAAGTTGTTACTGTTTTCCATAGAATGAGTGAGGAAACTGTTTTCTCATTTGATTGTATATGAATCATGTAGCATCAATGTCACACGCTGATAGGTTAATTGTGGCTCTAATTTTTCATTTTGTTTTTTCTTTATTGATAAATTTTCACTCTATAATTCTGTAAGTCCTATCAATTTTTTGAATTTTTTTTTATTTTGAAGAGAATAAAACAGAACAAAGCAATTCAGAACAGAATAATGCAAGCAATACAGGACTTCACAACAGGGTGAGGATATCAACATTGTCTACAGTAATGTCTCTTGTTTTCTTTGAAATAGTTGATTATACCTTTACACACAATAATATCTAACATAACAAAGTAGTATGAAACATTATAGGATTCAAAGCCTAATAACAGGAAATGAACAGTAGTTACTATATTATCTCATTTTCTTCCAAAAATTTGTACCCTAGATTTACATGGAGTTAGCAGGATGTGGGGTGGGGTTTTCCAGACTGTGAAGCTAGATTGGGGCCTCCCAAATGACCAGGTGTGCACAGAGTTGGGGTTGCTTCTCTCAGCCTGTGTTGCTACACTGAGACTCCCATGATAGTGGCACACATGCAGGGGTGTGTTTGTGTGATTCTCCCGGTGAGTGTGGGCTGCAGTAAAGGAACCAAGGGCCTCCAATAGTAGCCTATAGGTGTTGCTGTTTACATGGATGAATGTCCTTGCTCCTTCTGTCTGTCCACAGAAAGGTACCTTCTGGTGGCAGTACCTAGCAGGCAGAGGTAGATCTGCTGGCATTAGCTGCCCACAGGGAGGAGCCTTCTGGTAGTGGAGGCCAACAGGGAGAGGCAGACCTGCTGGCTCTCTACCCATGCTGGCTTCCTACAAGAAGGAGCATTCTGGTGTTGGTGCCTAGCAGGCAGAGGCAGATCTGTGTGGTTCTCTCTGACTACACAGAATACCTATAGGAAGGGGCATTCCAGCAGGTGGAGGTGGACCAGTCTGGCTGCCCACACTGCTGCACACAGGGAAGATCCTTCTGGTGGTGGCTCCTGGCAGGTCGATGCAGATCTGCTGGCTCCATCTGCTCACACTGGCTGCCTGCAGCAGTCAGGAGCCTTTCTGGTGGCGAGGCAACTCTTGTCATTTTGATTTTTTTTTTTGGTTTGGTAGACAGAATTGGTCTATAAAAAAATAATAAATTTTGAAATTTAGGAAGACTTTTCTTAAATTTAAAGCCACAGCCAGAGTCATTTCAACATTCTCTAAATTATGTATTTTATTTAACAATTGTCTTTAAAGATTTATATATTATTTCAGTAAAATCTAACTTAAACTGTAGTTATTGAGTGGGATATCACTGTTGAAAAGCTGATCATACAGTTGATCATCAGAAAAAAATCAGGCCTGTGGCATCAATCATAAAGCAGGTGACGGATGAGTTAAAACAAGAGTGATTCCATGCAATTATTTCTTGAATTCTGTAAATGTGACTAACATGAGTTTTATATTTTCTGAAAGAAAATATCAAGTTGAGCAAGGTAAAGTAGCATCATTAAAAAAGTGCGAGGTCAGAACCTTAGGGAATTGTTGCATTTAACAAGTATCAACAAAGTAAAAGAAGAGAATGGCACCACAGTAGTTGAATTTACTTGTTTATGAATCAAGAATGAGCCTGAGGACACCTTTGCTGCCATTATGTCCATCCAGCATTGGTTCATACATCCTTCACTTCACTTTACAGGGGAAACTGAGGGGAACATACAAGATTACTTTCATGTTCATCTTTGCTTGTACTCTCACTGTAATCCATTGAGAGTGCTCCCTACCACTGCTGGTCTTCCTAAATGAGGCAATGCTTTGATGCTCCATTGAGTAGCTCTCGGTCATCTATATACAGTTTAGAAAACTAGTGCAGATATGTGAAGAATATAAATGTGTACCCACTGATGTACATTTCTCAATACTTTCATGATAAATGACATCCTAATTTATAGCACAGTACTTGGAAATGTATGACATTTGTATTTTTTTTTGTGATGCAAACTACATGTTAACGTCCCTTCATAGGAGAGTGGCATATCACAATTGATTTATGAAAGAAGATGGAGGCAAAGCAGCAAGTGAAAAATGAATAGAGTTAATTGATTTGTGCCACAAGTTGCTGAGACTTCTACAGGGTAGGACATAGAAATCTCTATTATGATAAGTCACTCTGGGGATGTTACAGACTTTGTGAAAAGAACAAGAATAAAATGAAACTTGGTAGAATAAAATTGCCCAAGACCGTCAGGAAAGTATATGGGATAAAGCAATAAGTATAAAGGTAGATTGTTTCATTGCAGAAAAGAAAATGAAATACTGTCTCCATGAAAGAAATTATCACATGGATTTTTAAAGATTGAGTGAAACTTGTATACAAAATTGTCTGTATCCAAGAGTGCTTTGTACTTTGGTGTGATTATACCTGCCACTTGAGGAGACTGAAAATTTGAGATTCAAATTAGAAAATTAAATTTCTTAGGAAAGTCCTGACTCAACAAATGAACAAACAAACAAACACTACAAATATAACTCAGTGCAAATGTCCATGGTTCAGTCTTAGTTTCCCATAAGTTTTTCTTTTTTAATATCTAAGAGAATAGAATTTAGGTATTATATAAAAGAGACAGAAAAGGAACTTAGCTTATAAAAAACAAACAAACAAACAAACAAACAAACAAACAAAACTCATGCCACGTAATCCCCCTGCATTCAGGTTTTAGAAAAAAAAAAAAAACAGAGTGAGACTTGTAACTGTTGAGAGAATTAGAGGCTTATTAGTTATGAATGAGCCCAAGAGGCCTGGTTTAACATTTATTTTTTCCCTCATGTGAAAACCATCAGGGAAAAAAGTGAAGGTTGACAAGAAATCCTTGTTATAACTCCTTGTTCTCTAGACTTTCATTAGGGAGCATCAGAGTTGCCATCCAGAAACTTTCTTCACCAACTTGAGCTGAAGAAATACACAGTTTTCTAGAAGCTGCAGACTTTGCTATGAGTTTGGCAGGAACATGAACAAGCAAGCAGACAAATTCATGAAAAGAGCATGTGTTTTGAAGAGACAGAGACGTGCAAGAAGCTATCACAGAAGTGTTCACACTCTCTGACTGACACCACATTGGTACCATTACGGAGAACACTCAGCTAAAAGCATGAAGAAATGGGACAGAAATCTCTGGAAGAGCATCAGTGAGTGAGTGATGGATGAAAACGACAGAACAACTCCCAGTACTGTTCAGACACCTGATGAGAACACAACCAGCTCACAGACCACACCACAAAGTGAGTTTCAGTATTCTGATGTTTTCCCTTCATAATTTGCCTTTATCAGTTTTTGCAGTAATAGCCATACAATTCAGTTAACTAGAGAGTCTCATGCTTCCCTAACTACAACTTCTGGACCTCTGTATCTGTAGGGCAGTGCACATGTGTCAGCTGGGTACTCTGGAATAAGTCACAAGATGGTTGCTAAAAAATTTCTCTCTAACTGATTATCTTTGGGAGACACAAAAATGTGCCCATATTACAAATAGTAAGTGACCTATGATTGGTAATATCATAGGAATAAGAATTTGAGAGAAAACCTATGCAAGCCACAGTACTATAGTTAACTGACCAGTTTATCCTAAACTATTGTCAATTGATAGAGTTTTACATCATAAAATGTCTGCTGCTGATTCTATTCTTTTACTGAAGGTTTAGGGTAATCAAACCTAGCTGATTATAGAAATTCTGGTAGAATGTTGATATGAAATATAAATTTAGCAGATTCTTGAGCCTGCTGAAATACAGAATATTTTTTAGACATCTAGGAAAGAATAAAATAACCTAGTGCTATTTTGACAAAACTGTGGATAGTTCTCTAATATATGATTTAGAAATTACTTGGCTTAAAACCTGTAATTTTTAACAAGTGAGACTTTTTATTAAACAACATTTATACTGGACATCAGAGAACAAGTGTCAGTTCACTAAAGTAGATTTATTTTTTTTTTTAGTAATGCAAACATGTACCAATAAACAAAAGGAGAAAATTTAAAATTTGGGAACATACTTATTTATTATTTCTGAAGCATTTTGTTAGGAATACTTTGAAAGGATGTCTTCAGACATGCTATGCCATGTTTTACTGCTTTGGTTTGGAAATTATACACAGATACAAATGATATAAACACATATATTTATCTTTCCTTCCTTCCTTCATTTCTTTGTTTCTTTTCTTTCTTCTCAGGGCCTTCAAACTGAGCCACAACTTCATCCTTCCCACTTTTTCAAATTTGAGATAAAGTCTTGAGATTCTACTTCCACAGCCTACCAGAGTTCTTGCATTACAGGTGAGCACCATCAAACCTGGCTTATATTCTGTTATTGATTTGCACTATTTCTATTCCAGTGTTTTTACACTGTTCCCTTTACACTAATACATGAGGCATGTCTGAAAATTTACTGACCCACATTAACTGCTCCTCATTTAAAGATGGCTGGAATGAGTGTACTGATAAAAGGATACAAAAAGTGCAAAAAATCAAGACATATCAGTATCATATGACACTTTGAATTCCTAATAAAAGAAAATGAGTATAATTTATTTATCCACAGGTCTCAAAACACTAGATGATCAGAAGCCTGGCCTTGAACTTCTCACTATGGCAGAATATGCGTGAATGCCCTCACTGAAAGCAGTAATGTGTCCCTACAGAGGTGTCTTTTCTCTTCAACTGTATGAATGAGGTGACTGAGATGATGTTCGAAGTCCACCAATATCAAACAGACTCAGTATGGTGGATTTGGATAAAAACACAAAGCAGATTCACAGAAGTTGTGTGGATCTTCTATTGACACCAGGAGGCTCAAGAACACCATGTTGCACTCCAACATCACAGTCTTCATGCCTTCTGTCTTGACGCTAACTGGAATCCCAGGCCTAGAGTCTGTGCAGTGCTGGATCGGAATCCCTTTCTGTGCCATGTACCTTATCGCTATGATAGGAAATGCTTTGCTTCTGCTTATCATCAGGTCAGAGCGCAGTCTCCACCAGCCCATGTACATTTTCCTAGCCATGCTAGGTGCCACAGACATTGTGCTTGCTACCAGCATTATGCCCAAGATGCTTGGAGTCTTCTGGTTTCATTTGCCAGACATCAATTTTGATTGCTGCCTGTTTCAAATGTGGCTCATCCACACCTTTCAGTGCACAGAGTCCGGCATCCTACTCGCCATGGCCTTTGACCGTTATGTGGCGATCTGTTATCCACTGAGATACGCCACCATTTTCACACACCAGCTGGTCACCCAAATAGGAGCTTCTGTAATCCTACGGGCTGCCATTCTTGTAACCCCATCCCTAGTACTGATAAAGTGTGGGTTCCAATTTTATCACACAACAGTCATCTCCCACTCCTACTGTGAGCATATGGCCATTGTGAAACTAGCTGCAGGAAATGTCAGGGTCAACAAAATCTATGGTTTGTTTGTGGCCTTCACTGTTGCAGGGTTTGACCTCATATTTACCACCTTGTCTTACATTTTGATATTCATCACAGTTTTTAATTTGCCCCAGAAGGAGGCGAGGTTGAAGGCTTTGAAGACCTGCATTGCTCACATCTGTGTCTTCCTCCAGTTCTACCTCCTGACATTCTTCTCCTCCTTCACACACAGATTTGGCTCTCACATCCCCCCATTGATCCATATCCTCTTTTCTAGCTTTTACTTGCTGGTTCCTCCATTCCTCAACCCACTTGTCTATGGTGTAAAGACCAAGCAGATCCGTATTAATGTAGTAAGAAGGTGCTGCTCATTTTACACTGCCGTTTCCTCATTGTGCAGCATAACCATCTTTCAAAACAAAACAAGAACAACAGCCCACATTATTTGAGATACTGAAGGTTTCCAGTTCCAGGAATTGGCACTTGATATTTTTCACTATGAAGTTGATAGTCTATTATAGCTGTCAGAAAGAGGCTTTTGCTTCCTACCTTAGGGTTGACAGTACAGAATATAAATGGAACAAAATAGTGAACATATTTCATGTTTTTTTTTTCCCTTTTAGTTTTTAATCCCTGTTCTAGTTACTGCTTTGAGAATCTTTTTCTGGAACAATTCATGAAGTACATGTCTGTCGCTGAAATGAAGTGGGGGCTCATTATCCTTTAGTGTCTAGGCATTCAATACAAGTTATTCATTCTGACAGTTTGAAAATTGTGGCTAATTAAACAACGAAGAAAGAGATTCTTAAATATGATCTTATCTGGAAAAAATTTTGGAACACATTAAAATGTGAAAATTTATATATCCCAAGGTCTCTGGAAAATTGTAGTGACAAATAATATTGGAGTAAAGTGTTGAATTCAGTTTATCAGTAAATTTTACAAGGCCTCCAGCATTTGCATCTGAATGTTCAAGTGCTAAAGAAAGCCACAATATTATATATCTTATGCAAGACAACGCTAATGCAGTAAAAAGTTTGATACATAGCTATGTGAGTTTATGATTTAGAAATTTCTGAAAGAAGAAAAGTTGAGAAAGTGGGTAGGAAAGAAGCAGTGAAAGAGGGGAAAAAAGAGGGAATTTTGTTTTTCAGTTAGGTAATGTAATGCTTAAAGGGTGATGTGTGGCCAAAGGAGTGTAAACACAGAGTTTCAAATAAGTGATGAGACACTGCAACCAGACAGTATCACTCTAGGTATTGAAGGTTATGTTTACCATGTTTTGATTGCAAGACACAAAGTGATAGGAAAAATATGAATAAGAAATGTGGATATTAATACTGTATGGAGCAGTCAGTCTTTCTTCAGATACAATGTTTCAGTGGAGGACTTATCCCTACAAGAACATCATACCCATGTGTGTGGTCAGAATTTCTTTCAGTGGGTGTAATAAGATGTGCTTTTGTATGAGTAGGCTTTTACTATGAAAGATGTGGAGTATTTGTCTAGGAATAAGCACATGAGAACTTAGAGCTAGGTGATTGTTCCTAAAAATCTAAGATCATATAATACCTTTAAGGTTATATAAAATGTTGACATCTATATTGATGCCATTCACTGATTTATCAGATTATACTCATAACCTATGTGTGAAATAGTGGACTGCATATCATAGGCTGATAGAGATTTTTACTGCACTTGTGAAATGAGCATAGTGAGATTCCTATGGCTACTGAGGATGATTACAGTATAAATGTAGAAGCTGTCTTTGGGGGATGTTGGTCTATGTATTTATTAGAGTTGTTGAAGAGTTACTGAGAGGTAATTTTATTTTTAGATAACATCATTTAGTTAGGAGTAAAACCAGCATAGACCCGAATTAATGTTCTCATCAGAATTAAGCACACCTCCATGTAAAGATAAAAAGGTCCAATAAATTAGGCTCTATGAACAAGAAAGTTGTAGGGAGCCACATGACAGCCCAATTGCTGCCTCCCTGCCTCTCTCTCTCTATCCTACATTAACCATAATCCTCTTCTGCTTATGTCACATACCCGGATGTGATGATGACCCTGTAGCCTCTTCCTGTCCCACCAGCCTGCCCTTGGCCTATAAAAGATGTAATCACTTCCGGAACAAATGGGGCTTGATCGGATTCTCTCGACTTGCCTCAGTCTTTCTCTGTCTCCCCCATGTGTTTATTTAATCCCTGTTCCCCCTCCAGGTACACCCCATGGATTGATCCACGGGCCAGATCAGAAAGTAAAACTGGATCATATTGTTAGGCAGATATGTACACTGAAATAATATGAAAGAAATATTTTCTCAAAAATTTTGGGAAGCCCTCTAATTGGCCGCCACCTTATATCTGCAGGCCGCACCACCTTACCATCTGCAGGCCACACCACCTTAACTCCCTCTAGGAGTTAAGTTTGGTATTTAAGCAGTACCTTGCCTACCTAGCTTGTTTGATCTATTCAGGGATTATGTTAATCAGCCCGCCTTATGAGCCTGGTCGGGAAATTCAAATTGACCTATAACCCCTGGTCTTGCCACTGTTGCTGTTACCTGCTGATGTCTCAGAACCCAACTCCTTCCTCCCCAATACCCTATATATTTGATACTCCTTCCTTGAATAAATGAGACTTGGACTTCGTCTTGTCTCCATCCTTTGTCCTTTGTGTCTTGTTTCCTTTTCATTCCCACTCCCCCTCGGGTCTCCGTGGACTTACCCGCAGGCTGGGACAAAAAATGTTACAAAACTCTTATCATAGTAATTGTAAAGTCGTTTTGGTAACTTAGGTCAACTAATTAGAAAGATGCAAAATATTTCTTTTTCCTGTTGTGGTCTGAGAATTGAACCCAGGTATTCACACTGAGCTGTATCACTAGATTTTTAACCTTTTTAAAATTTAATTTTAGATCTGGTCTCACTCAACTACATAAAATGACCTAGAGCTCACAATCTCTGCATCCCAGCCTAACAAGCAGCTGCACTTGTTTGTGTCAGCCACAGTATCTTACAAATCACTTTTTCATTCATGATGATTACTTCTATGAGTGCACGCAAAAGTTAGACTTTCTATGTCATTGATTACAAGTATTCAACTGAAAAAGAATTATATACAAATTTGAAAGGAGTGGCTAGCTTTGTAAGGTTTAAGCTTATTTAGCAAAGTTTTGAAACAGGTTTGGCAATTTCTGACTCTGGCATTTATTCTGAAGAGTGTGGGACTATAGGGGAAACAAAGGAATAGATTGTGAAACTACAAAATATTTCCAGCCATTTCCACTAGTAATATCCTTTTAAAACATCTAGTTGAGAGGTTACAATGTTCCAGTAGAATAATTTTGATATTGTATGGCCACTTTCAATCTGAGATCTACAAATAAATTTTTTTAAAAAATGAGTACCTTTAAGGAAAACAGGTTAACCAGGAGTGTGTACCATCCCACACACTTGCATCAAGAAATTTACATGTTGAACCATCGGACATAAAATTCTTTGAAAGAGAAAGAAAATCTACAAATAATAATTTTCTGGATTTCTTGAAATCGCAAGGATGACCTCCAAAAACATTGTATCAGCATCTGCAGTGAGTAAAATAGTGTGCTTGGTTTCCTAATAATCCTCAGAGCTACAAACGTTTGCAGCCTCTGATGATTGAACAGATGACACATGGTTCTTCTCTTAGTAAGTATTTAACAAAATAGAGAATTTTGTTCTACTGTTCCTCCACTTGTATTTCATTTATGTAAACTGCTACATTATTTTCTTGGTACATTTAGCAAAATTCTCTTATTCAGTTTAAAATCACATCAGTAAATATTTATTTGGTTTTAAAAAGTCAGATTCCTCTTAACTACGCTCAGAATTCTTTACCAAAACTATTTGACATTCATTTCAGATTTTCTACCAAAAGATATGCTGATATTGAAATATGTCCTCGATTATTTGCTTGTAAGACTCTTCATTTATGACAGCTATATTCAGTTTTGACAGCTATATTGCTTAGGTATGAGATTCTACCTTAAACATCTCCATTTCTTCATCAGTGTTTTAAGGATGGCATCCTTTTAATTTTTGACGTGCATCATTCTCTCTTTCCACTTTTTTTTTTTTTTTTGTCTTTTTGCTTTTTATTGCTACTGGGGATCGAACTCACAACTGCCTGCTTTCAAGGTAGGTGCTTATGCGGCTGAGCTAAACCTCCAGCCCCTCTTTCCACATTTTTAATAGTGCATATTTATGATAGAGATCAGTGGGTTTCACTTTGTCAAATTTGTACATGTACATAACAATTTTTAATCATTCTTTTTCCATAATCTCCCTCAAATCACCCAGGAAGGCAATGGAGTCACTCCATATATTGTATGACAGTTTTCATATTTTCAAGGGTTTTATTTCTTAAAAGTTCATAAGAAGCCTTTTGGTAGCCACTGTAATTCTTAGCAGGGCTGATTGCAACAAAGAATGTGATTGATGCAGGTGAGTTTTTTACATACGAAAGAAATAACTGGGATTTTCTCCACGAATGCTTGTTTTCAAAAAAGCACTATCTTCATATTTTTTTGTTTCCTTTCATCTAAATTTTCAGTTCTGGAAGAATAACTTACAACATTTTTTTTTAACTCTCTATCCTTTTTCTATTATAGTTGATGCTCTAGAACAGATAAAATTAATCTAAGTTGAAATTTTCAGAAATGAGCAGACAATGTAGCACACATCTTTGCTCCCAGGAATCAGCAAGGTTGAGACAGGATGTTTGCAGGATCAAGCTTAGTCCTGCCAGCTTAGCAATTTATTATGACTCTGTGATAAGACAAAAAAAAAATTAAAGAAGGCTGGTAATGGAGTTTAATTTAGAGCACCGGATTCCAATTCCAAATGTTTCAAAAGAAGAAGAAGAAGAAGAAGAAGAAGAAGAAGAAGAAGAAGAAGAAGAAGAAGAAGAAGAAGAAGAAGAAGAAGAAGAAGAAGAAGAAGAAGAAGAAAGAGGTGGAAGGGATTATATGTGGAAGAGGATGCGGTGAAAGCAGAGAAATAGAAGAGTGGGAAAGGGGTGAAAAAATAAGGAGAAGCAGATGAAAAATATGAAGAGGAAGAAGAGGAAAGAGATGAGAATAAAAATAGAAGAAAGTAAAATAGGATGAAGAAGAGAAGAAATGAGGAAGAGGAGAAAGAGGTGGACAAAAAGACAAACAGAAAAATAGGCTTCTAAACTGCAAGAGACAAGGTGATAAATATTCCTGGGGTGAAAGAAATTTTCTGCATTGTGCTAAAATGTGAAAATTATATTTTCCAGAATGAATGGTTAAGATTTACACATCTCACTGTCATGACTTAAATATTGTTTAAACAAATTCTGAGCACCGGTTATATTTACTGATTCAGGTTGGTAATGTAGAAATTACTTCTATGTGTCTTAGGTGTCAGATGATGGGAAGA